AGCTGCGTAGTAGATTATCTGGTTGGTTTGGAAAAACTTTATCTCTTGGGGGAAAAGAAGTGATGCTTAAGTCGATTGGCATGGCGCTTTTTGTTTATGCGATGTCATGTTTCCGCCTTTCAAAGAACCTATGTAAAAAGATAACATCAGCAATGACTGCGTTTTGGTGGAATAGTTGTGAAGGAAAAAGAAAAATCCCTTGGGTAGCTTGGAAGAAGATGTGTCAATCGAAAGATAAAGGAGGCTTGGGGTTTAAAGACTTAGAAGATTTTAACCAAGCTCTTTTAGCTAAACAAGCATGGAGAATACTTAGAGAACCTAACTCTTTATTGGCACAATTGTACAAATCCAGATACTTCCGCAACAAGGATATACTAGAATGTGGAAATGGTACAAGACCATCATATGCTTGGAGAAGCATTCTCCATGGTCGAGATTTGTTGAAAAGGGGTCTGCTTAAAGTGATTGGGAATGGTTCTTCAACCTATGTTTGGTTTGAGAAATGGATAAATGATTCGATGCCAAGACCGCCAGCTAGTAAACAATATTATTTTGATCTACGGTTGAAGGTCTCTAATTTGTTTGATGCAGATGGTTGGAAAATGGACAAATTAGAGGAGCTTTTCCTCCCACAAGATATAGCTCTGAAAACGGCAATGGTACCAACTCAAGTTTTGGAGGATGATTATGTTTGGGCTTTCAATAATAATGGGGATTATTCAGTGAAAAGTGGTTATTGGTTCATCACCAATCACCGTCTTCTTCCTCCAGTTGAGAATATTGCCCAAAATGCAGAGATTAATATGCTTAAAAGGAGAATATGGAATCTAAAAACTGAGCCAAAAATCAAGCTTTTCTGTTGGCGTGCTCTTTCTGGTGCTTTGGCTGTGGCAGAACGCTTAAGCACACGGGGAATTCCACTTGACACAAATTGCCAAATTTGTGGTACAACTACAGAAACGATATGTCATGTTCTGTTTTCTTGTGCCGTCTCAAGTCGTATATTAGGCTTAGCATTAGTTCCAGCTCCGGACCAAGGTTTTTCTTCAACATCCTTGCTCACAAATTTCTCTCATCTGTTGAATGTAATCGAGGACAAGCATATACCAGAGCAAACTCGAATATCAATTCCATGGGTTTTATGGGCAATCTGGAAGAATCGTAATCGTACGATCTTCGAAGGAAAGGTATGGAATTTTCAAGCTTTAGTTCAAAAAGCGTATGAAGACGCAATGCATTGGACAATGGTGAATACGCAGCCTTCGACATTATTCTCTCGGCAATCAACTCCAATTTGGATGGAGAAAAAATGGAGGAAACCCCAAACAGGTATTCTTAAATGCAATCTGAATTCTTCTTGGATAAATAAAGAATCAATGTGTGGAGGAGCTTGGATTGTCAGAGATCATATAGGGCAAGCTAAACATCATGCAAGAGATGCGTTTACGCCAATTAGAGATCGAACAGGGGCTGAGCTGCGCTGCATTTTATGGTCTTTGAAAGCTTTGCAAGATATTCACGTCTCTAAGATGATAATGGAGTTGGACTATGCAGCTGCCGTTAACGCCGTTTTGCAGCCGTCCAAATGGCCTTTCTATAGAAATTGGTTAACACAAATCCATGAAGTTGCTGCTGCATTTGAATCTTGTACATTCCGTCACATTGCCACAAACGCAAATCTGATCGCGCGATCCATTTCTCGGAGTGTGATTCGAGACAGAAGGTTTCAGTCTTACATAGCACTTGGAGAGCCTTCATGGCTTCACAATCAAGTGTTTGAGGAGAGCAAAGTTTAATTTTTTATAGTTTCGTTTAGGTCTCTGTCCTTTGTTTATGTCTCTGTTTTAGTTTGGCTTTTGTAACTCTATACTCTGTTACTCTTTCTTAATATTTATCAGATGACAAAAAAAGAAAAAGAATAACTCTCTCTGTATGAAGGAAAAATGACTCAAACCTTAATCTCTAAAACTCAAATCTCATAAGGGCTTTTACCAAAAAAAAAAAATCTCATAAGGTATACGGTAACTCTTATATAGAGAACTCCTAAAACTTATCCTAAAATATTTATAAAACTCCTAAATATTATCTCTAGATAACTCCTAAATGTTAAAAATGGATAAATATTGTTGTGATTATCCATCATGTAATCACTTTGTCTCCAAGTTACTAGGATAACTTAGTCCCCAAGTTTTATGTGTATGGCCTATCCAATAAACTCCTAAATATTATCTCTAGATAACTCCTAAAGATTTAACATAATCTCTTACTTTATTTTAAATAACTTATTGCTCAACTTATTGGATCTGTGTGACTCAAACACGTTTTCCCTCTCTATTTCCCGAATTCTTTTTTAGTTCCTAACCAAATCGTTTAATTTTTTTACTGACTCAAAAACCAAATCAAAAGATAAATCCACAGTGTACCAAAACTACCACGTTATATTAATATTGGCACATATTATTTGTTTTCCAGTAGACTAAGTAGTTGGGAGCTATTTTTCATATATAAATATCTACGTGTGCATCAATCGTATATATAGATGTACGAGAGTTGGAAAGACAAGTGTCAAAAGGCACACATAACGTAACTGAACTATACTAAATGAGAAAGACAAATCAATGCCCGAGTCTCGCAACTACTTTCTTTCAATGTCTCTCTCTGCTAAGTGTTTTTACCTTTTTCAGGCCATCAGAGACACAACATTGTTTTGTGCGTATATCAAAGACAGAAACATACATATAAACGTTACTACATTATTACTATCATAATTATATATATAAAAACATTTGAGTCTACCTAATTCTATCACATTTAATACAATCCCCCAATGTTTGTGTGTGCTATATAAACACCTTTGCATGCACAAACTACATACACTCATGCTACTCACATAAGCATCACAAGCAGAAACATATATACATCACCATAATCATCAATACCATTATAACCTTCATCTTTTGAACAAAAAATGATGGGTTTCTCTCAAGAGTTGGTGGGAATTTTGTTAAATCTTTATGTGGTGGTTGGATCTTTATTTGTTCTTGAGGTAATGGTGATGATAAAGGCACAGCCACTGGTTCCAGCAATGTTCATATTTGGTGATTCGGTGGTTGATGTGGGAAACAACAATGATATCTACACAATCGTTAAAGCTAATTTCCCTCCTTATGGAAGAGATTTCACAACCCATACACCCACCGGACGCTTCTGCAATGGAAAGTTAGCTACTGACTTCACCGGTACTTAGCTTTTCTCTTTTCTTCGTTATTTATTTCAGTAAAATATATAGTGACACACAACATGAAGATATACATGCATGCATGAGTATATACATACATCACACATGTTTTAACTAAACAACATTTTGAACCGCATGTATATCCACTATGCATGTACATGTACTCAAAGATGATGATCTAGGAGGCCTTTATGTGAAACGATGCATGCAGTATTTAGTTGAATATTTCTGAGAGTAATTGTTTCACATGCACCTATATTTGATGTGAATCAAGATTTCTAGCAAGGGTTAATTAAGAGTAAAACATTAAGAGCCATGACTTGATGATGATTTCTTCAACTTAGAGTACAAAAATTAAACAACCAATTGTTGGGTTGTATTTTGCATGCATGGGGAGCAAATGTTTTACTGAAATGAAGAAAACAATGTACATGCATTAGGTTGATATTTGTGCATGTATATGTGTACATGCATACACATATACTAATGCAATAATGAATTATTAGTTTATTTTCTGTGTGTTTGTGTAGCTGAGAATCTTGGGTTCACATCATACCCACAAGCTTATCTAAGCAAAAAGGCAAAAGGCAAAAACCTTTTGATTGGAGCTAACTTTGCCTCTGCAGCCTCTGGTTATTACGACGGCACAGCCAAGCTATACGTTAGTACCATTTCTCTTTTTTTTTTTTTTCTTCTAACAACAACTTGAAATTTTCGCCATTAAAAACGTCTTCTTACTTAATTTCATTGTTGATTTTGAAGAGTGCAATATCGTTGCCGCAGCAGCTGGAACATTACAAAGACTACATTAGCCGAATCCAAGAAATCGCGACCTCAAACAACAACGCAAACGCCAGTTCCATAATCTCCAATGGCATATATATAGTCAGCGCAGGGAGCAGTGACTTCATACAAAACTACTATATCAACCCTCTCCTATACAAAGTCCAATCACCTGATGACTTCTCTGATCTACTTATCCTCTCCTACTCCAGTTTTATTCAGGTTCATTTTTCTCCTTTCATTTGTTTGTTTAAATCATGCTTAAATGGGATATCCGACAGATTGATCAAATTATGGTGGCGAATGGTAATATTGTTAAGGTAGTTAAAATGTAAATTTGTTCTGTTTCTGTTTTGTTTTGGGGTATCCGTAGAATTTGTATTCGTTAGGAGCAAGAAGGATAGGAGTGACTACGCTTCCGCCCCTGGGATGTTTACCGGCGGCGATAACTGTGGCGGGTCCACACGAAGGTGGATGCTCGGAGAAGCTTAACAACGACGCGATCTCCTTCAACAACAAACTCAATATGACGTCGCAGGACCTCAAGAGAAACCTCATTGGACTCAATTTGGTCGTCTTTGATATCTATCAGCCTCTCTATGATCTCGCCACCAGGCCATCAGAATTTGGTATTTATACATACAAGTCAAAGCGTAAAAACAATTCTTTCTAACATGCTACTAATAGTCGTGTGTGCTTTATGTAATTTTCAGGATTTGCAGAGGCAAGAAGAGCTTGTTGTGGAACAGGATTACTAGAGACATCAATACTGTGTAACCCAAAATCAGTAGGGACATGTAATAATGCAACGGAGTATGTCTTTTGGGATGGATTTCATCCAACAGAAGCTGCTAACAAGATTCTTGCTGACAATCTCTTGCTCTCTGGCATCTCTCTTATCTCCTGATCATCCATCTCTCTCTCTACTTTAGTCTCAAAGTTTCAGTATGTTTTATTGTTATGCCCATTTGAATCGAGATTTATGTCGAAAGATACTCGGTAAAACTTCTATTTCTGAATATTTGAGGAGTTATTTTTTCTGTTGCACATCTATTCTTCTTGTGTACAATTTATCAGATTGTGCCCTAAGAGAGAGAGAGAGACAAGTAAGTTCTAACCTGAACATGTTCAAAAGTCCACTGGGACCGTGATTTCTTGAAGCTTGTGACTTCATGTGTCAATGTGTTATGCCTTGAAAGTAGAGAAGAGTGTATACTTTCAAGAGATAGATTCCCCATGAATTAAGATCCTTCAATTGATCTACAATTGAGAAAGAAGAAAATTATGAGTCAAGTTAGTTTGTGTATTTCGAATTGGGACAACAATTGAAGTGGATGCAGCAGAAGTATCTGACTGTTGAAAGAAGATGGAAACAAGATCAGATTCTATGAAACTGTAAGACCAATTGTAATATGAGAGGTTGTTTTGAGTTTCAGGCTCTCTGGATCACTTGAAAAAGTAGTTGAATGCAAACAAATCTAACAATTTTTATACTAGAGATGGTAAAAATAGCTTACTTGATATATCTGTGACAGCAATCGGATAGCCTTTTAACATCAGCTAGGTTTATAGAGCAATTCCCGTTCACTGTTTCCTCCTGGAAATCCTCCTTGCGAACATTCCAATTGTTCAATATCGATTCAATCTTCCGTATCTGTTGTCGCTAAGGATCCACAAAAGATCTGTACATGACAACTTTGTAGAATCTAGAAAGAAGCAACTAAAATAGATGAATATAAAAGTGGATACAGCAATTGTTCGCGCGCTTGACTTTATCTGGGAAGGGAATGAGTTTTGGGACTCCTCGTTTGAATCTTCTAGTTGGGTATCAAGAAGATCATCTTCTATAATATCTGCTTTGCTTAACAAAACCAATATGTACTGACTCAGACATAATGTGTTTATCTCGGATTCATTAACTCTGGCAAGTAATCTCGCAATAACATTCCAAAAAGCTCTTCTTGCTTCTACATCATCCGAAGCAAATGGTAAAGTACTGAATAAACCTTCCAAGAAAGAAAAATCTGCGTTTGCAGATTCTTAGTGTCAGATAAAGACATGAAGCACTAGATGAACAACCAACAACACTATGCAAATATTTTCTCTGTTCATCCTAGTTTGTCAAGTACGAGCCTTCACTATGTATTACAAAAAAAATAACTACAGAATGCTTTGATCAATATAAAAATCTCATGTTAAACAAACTTCATTATAACTTTTTCGTAACACCACATTTCCAGAATTAAGAACTGCGTAAAGTAGAGTCAAGCCACACTCTGCAAACCTAAAATGGAAAACTATGACTAGACATGTCATGAAATTAAAGTAATTAGTTTACCTTGCGATACTTCTGGAATGAAATCGACTGTTTCCGACAGCATATTTGCGATTAAAACTCCAGCAGTAACACAAGATGTTGCCACCTAAAGTGAAGTTAAGTTTATTAAATTATAACTTGAGATCTATTCAATGGAGAGCTTCATATACACCTAAAACTACCTCGGTTTTGTCCTGAAGTTTCAAAAGATCACAGACTAGTTGAAAAAGTTCTTTGCCAGAGCAAATCTCTTTAGAATGGCTATCTGAAGCAGAAAGGGCTTCAATAGCTCGGAGAATAATTTCAAGGACGGGGTACCTGAATTCATACACACGGGTTACATACTACATAGTAAAGCATGACACGTATTTGTTTTTGCTAAAATAAGATTGCCATTCACTAACACCTGATGACCCTTAGTTGTTATTCTTCCATACCTTTCTGGAATTCTCTCTTTAGTCAACTTGCTCATTTCAACGGAAAGAAGATTGATCAAGAGACCCGTTAAACCCAGATTCATTAGAGGGGGGATCAACAGCTGCCCAATCTCTGGTTGACCTTCTATGATGCCTAACAATAGCCCTACACTCTAAGGAAAAATGGAAATGATTTAGCAAATTCAAAAAGGCCATATGATAAATCAAAACTCAAAGAAAACGGCCGAGGGACATAAAGTAGAAAATAAAAGAAGAAAAAAATCCATTGGAATTAACCTTTGATTAACCTTTCAACAATCAACACGTCCAGTGGAAAAATGACTAATTTATAGGAACAAATATCAGAAGTTACCTTTTCAATAAGATGAGGATTCAAGGTATTTTCCGCAATCCACAAAATACGGCGAAGTATATCATCAGACTGCAAACAATCAGCCCAAAAAGTGCACCCAGCCCCATAGAGTCCTGTAGTGAATATCCTATTGGGGACACGTCGGTTAGTTAGAATAGATAACCCTACAAACTGATAAAGCATGAATTTTGATGTCACAAATTGATTTTTTGCCTGCAAACTTCACTTAGGCATTGGGTATCATCATGAAACAACTGCCCCACGAGTATATTTACGAGTCCAGCTGTAGACTCTATATGTTTCAACAGACCTTCATGGCAAGCAAGGTTCCCAATAATCCCGAGACAAATTTCCTTTCACGCCCAAAATGGAAAAGAAATGTAAACATCAAAATCAACTAAGGAAGACGAAAATAACTAGAAAATGATTAGACTTAGCCACAAATATACTGAGTTTCTTACTCGAATGCGGGGAGATGTTGAAACCATAAGGTTTGCGTGAAGCACTTCTAAAATTAGGTTCTGTACCTGCAAAGCCAAAGCATCACAACTTCAAGTCTCAATTTCACTACATGGATTCAACAGATAGAGCATTGTAATACAGTTCAAAAACCACTATACGGAACCAAGCTGCTCTTTTGTATACATGGAAACCAATTAGTTTCTTTCAACAACTCTGTCCCAAATTTCCTATTGGTCTAAACTCAACTCTAAACCAACGTTACTACTTGGCGTTTCAATATCCAGAAAAAAGAATAAAAAGAACATTTAAAGGCATTACTTCAAAGTTTAAATCCATTACCATTAGCTCAGCATGAGTTCTACTAGCGGCAAGATCCCACAAAACACAACCATGATCTTCCCATGCTTCTTCCACTGATGACCCGCCTAGCATTCCCGGCTCCCGACATGAACTGACCGTGCCCCTCACCTCGGAAGTGGATTCATTATGATTATCTTCAATGTCCATGCTCTCTGGATCACCATTGGAAGTGTTTCTAGATACAGCTACTACACCGTGAACCACATTATCCGCATTCATATGATGATTATGTCGTTCGTCAGTACCCGAATCAACAGGAAGGAGTTTCCTTATCAGTGAAATAACATAGCTAGGATCAACTGTAGTCGAAATGTCAAAGAACTGCAGAACATTGAAAATGAGAAATCACTGTCAATACAAATAAAAATCACAAATTTTAATTCAAAATCTTCTAATCCAGCTGAAAAACCCAAATTACACCAAACACCATTGAAGCTACCTTAAAGCTCATTTTCCTATAATTAAACTACCTTAAACAAGGAAGAGTGAGCAAATTAAGCTCAAAATTGAAGCTCTTACCTCATCAGGCGGAGGAGGAGGATGATGTGAGGGAAAATCGTTTTCTATTTGTTCTCTTCGTTCATCAAAATCTTCTTCTTCTTCTTCAAGTTTTCTTCGCTGCTTCGCTTCATCGTCCTCCATTGAAGAACCTCCCTCGGTTTTTTTTTTTTCTCCTTTGCCCTTATTTCTCTTCTCAGAAAATTCGAAATACCTCTTTACTTGTTTTACAAAATAGTCCTTGTACTAAATCATATCTCATTTTGTGACCTGCATAATTTTATATGATCTCTTAAAGTACTTAACTTTTTCAATATAACAATTAACACCATTTAAGGTGAACCACACAAACTACGCCAACTGTTAAATGAGAGTCTCGGGGACAGGTGGCAACGAAAAGATTATTCACAGGTGAAAGTAAAATATCGTTGGGTTTTTTCTCGTAAGAAGCCTCCACCACAAAATTAACGGTCAACTACCATAAATTGTTTATTCATTAATCCTAAAAATTAGTTTCTTAAGAAATAAATACTCGTAGTAATATATTTCTTAGGAATAAAAAATTTAGGAAATATATGTAAGAAATAAATTTTCATCATGTGTTAATATTTTATTATCAAAAAAAAAAAAAAAGATGTAATATTTGCTGATTTGAGGTTTAAAATTGTGAAATGCGATTTATTCAAATTATTTGATTGTGATGTTTATTTTAGGGTCCATTTTATTTTTTTCGGTCCAAAAATTCATTATTTAACACACTAATTTGTATTAAATTGTAGAAAAGGAGGGACAAGGCATATTTGATATTATTTCTTATCTAAATCTCTACATATATACATACAAATTGGATATTGTTTTAACTTTTTTTTTGTAAAATTATCCTTAAGCTAAAATTCTCCATAACCAAAGCTTCCTTCCACCAGCACCAAACCAACAATGGCGTTAACTCCAATTCCTTCAACATTCACTTCCCTCTTCAATTTCTCTGATCATTCTCCATATCCATCTCCATCTCTCCATTATCTTCTTCCTGGATCTTCTCCTTCCTTTTCTCTCCACTTATCGGCTCTGAGTAGAACTCCGATCTATTTCGAGGCACTAAAAGTTTTATCGAGATCGAAATGTTTCGCCAAGTCTCCCACAACCGCCGAGGATTTCGTCGGAGATTACGAAACCCTAAACGTTAGCGACGATGATGGTAGTGACAGTAATAGTAGTGATGGAGATAACGGAGGAAGAGAGGATTCAAAGAAGATCGATTCTTCTTCTTCTTCTTCAAGTGATTCTACATCGCTAGGAATTCGTGAACCGGTTTATGAGGTTTGCATGTTCATATCAATCATATATATATATATAGGATTCTGATTGAATTGTTTATTTATATGCATCATTGTGGAAGGTGTCACTTGTTGTATCTCATCAAAGTTTTTAACTTTATCAAGGTTGTGGAAGTGAAGGCGACTGGAGCAATATCTACAAGGAAGATTAACAGACGACAGCTGCTCAAATCCAGTGGTCAGAGAGCAAAGTTTAATTCTTTATTTGATCTTTGATGTTTGTTGGTACTTCTCTATGATTAAGTCTACTCTTTTAATCAGGTCTTCGTCCGAGAGATATCCGAAGCGTTGATCCTTCATTGTTTATGACAAACTCAGTGCCATCTTTATTGGTATATAGCTTTAACTATCTTTTATCGTTAGTCATGTGAATATGACAATGATGAACCATCTGATCTACCTCATTATCCTGTATTTTATTTCTGTATGACAATGATGAAACCTTTTCTTACATGTTGTTTAGGTCCGTGAACATGCGATTCTGCTAAATTTGGGCTCCCTGAGAGCAATAGCAATGCGAGATCGTGTCCTTATATTTGATTATAACCGGTAATCTTGGTCGCAGTATATCTCTTTTTCTTCAGATCATTTGCTCTATTTTTAAGTATTTCTGATGTAAGTCCGAAATATTTTCAGGAGGGGAGGAAGGGCTTTTGTAGATACATTGATGCCTCGGCTCAACCCAAGAAGTATGAATGGAGGACCCTCTATGCCATTTGAACTCGAGGTTGGTTTGGCTCACAAAATAACTTGATGGGGATGATGATTTATTTATGTTACTTATTTTCTCGGAAAAGAAGAAATATATGTTTTGTACACAGATCAAAGATTATGAAAATCATCTCTTCAAGCCTGCATAACTTGAGTTCGTAATAATTCCAATCATTTTGATGTTAACTTTTCATTACTCTGGCTTTATTGTAGGTTGTTGAATCGGCGCTAATCTCAAGGATACAACGATTAGAGCAAAGGCTTATGGACATTGAACCCCGTGTGAGTATGAAAGCTAGTGAGTATATTTCAGTTAGATCTTCTTCACTTTGACTGCTAGACTAGGACTTCTCCATGACTCAGTTGTAGAGGATGTAGAGGATGAAACTGCCATTTTCGACACGTACAATGCATTTTCCTTTTGAGATAAGTTTAAGCTTGAACTGTGCATGGAATGAAAGACCTGAGGCATGAAATCCTTTATATGTTCTGACATGAAACCCTGTAGTTTTTTCAAACATTGGCTTATGGCTTTTAAAGATCATTCCTTTTGCTCTTAATTTTTATATTTATGCCATTTGGTTCAGGTCCAAGCTCTTCTTGAAGTTTTGCCCAATCGCTTAACTGCTGATATATTGGAGGAACTTCGTATTAGCAAACAAAGACTGGTAAACTTCATTTTTAGTTGTGCATGTATGTATATTCTTGTTATTTGTTCGCTTTAGAGAACTCAATATTCGTTCCTTTCTATTGTATTTTCTTTACACTTTTTAAAGGTCGAATTGGGCTCCAGAGCTGGAGCTCTTAGACAAATGCTCCTGGATCTTTTAGAGGATCCCCATGAAATACGCCGCATATGCATCATGGGAAGAAATTGCACTCTTAGAAGAGGAGACGATGATTTGGAGTGTATGTTACCCTCAGACAAGCTGATTGCCGAGGGTAAGAATGCAAACATTTCCTCCATGATAATCACCACAAACAGATGAATTTAATGAGGTTCATTTTCTTTTTCTGGTTCCATGCAGAAGAAGAGGAGGAAATTGAAATGCTCTTGGAGAACTATCTGCAAAGGTCTTGAATTTTGCTCTTGAAGCACTCTGATATTACATTGTTATGTAGTGAAACTCTATGGCTTCGTATGTGCAGATGTGAGTCATGCCATGGACAAGCAGAAAGACTTCTGGATTCTGCAAAGGAAATGGAAGACTCAATTGCTGTCAATCTAAGGTTCTGAAGATAACACAACCCTCCTTTCTCTTTAAATGCTTAGGCACTCTTACCATGATCTATTTGTTTTTTTTTCCAGTTCTCGGAGGCTTGAGGTCAGCAGATTCGAGCTGCTTCTTCAGGTCGGTACATTCTGTGTTGCAGTTGGTGCTCTCATCGCAGGTAAATTTGCAAACTGTTTATGGTTTGCATCCTTTTTCTCTCAAACTGTTGAACTGTGGTAGAGGCCTGCTTCTATTTCTGCATTTAAACTACTAACTACCAAGATACTGAGTGTCTGCATTCAACATTCCTTGTGTGCTATTTGATTTTAACTACAAAGAAGCATTGCCCGATGAACATGGTCTCAAAGCCAACTCCTGTTTTCCGTGTTCACTTAAAAAGCTTATACCTTTTGTTTTGGGTGCGTGCAGGTATATTCGGCATGAACTTGAGGTCCTATCTTGAAGAACAAGCTGTAAGCCCTCACCACATATTTACAACTATTGTGCCATCAATTTACCATTCACATCTCGATTTTTTTGCAGTCTGCATTCTGGCTAACAACAGGTGGAATCATCATAGGGGCTGCAGTCGGCTTCTTCCTCATGTATTCCTATCTCAGTAGACGAAAAATCTTTTGAACCTTCAATCCTAAAAGATGGAACAAGAGGTAAACCCGTCTTTTCTTCTTCGCATTTCCGTTTTCCTTTACATATGATAAAGAGAGCTCAAAATAAATGTATATATTACAGGTGAAAATCTGTGAAGAAAAGAGAATTTCATCACACAGTTAAATTGTGGCATTAGGCCCCTTCTAGTAGTTAGAGCGAGGTGTGTTCATAAAATGTCTGATATAAATTTATTGTGTGGTCTCCATTTGAACCCCGGCGACTTGTGTGCTATGTCCGCATTGCTTATGTTGTACACTATATTATTAATGTTAATCCAATGTATCATCTAATAAGCTGGGTCGAAAGCAAAATTTCATATCTTTTAGTGTGCAAGAGTGAAGGGAGAAAAAAACAATACAGTATCTAAATCTTTGAGATTCAGAGAAAAAATACAAAACTTTTTTCCAGGAATTTTTTTTGTTTCTTTAAGTGCGAAGATCACGAGCAGATTGACGACCTTCTCTTGCTGAGGTCTTTGGTTCTGAGCCATCAATGGCGATATTCCCAACACCAACCTCCATGGCTTCCCTCTCATCATTTTCCTTCGTTTTATTCTCATGTGATACTTCTTCATCTTTGGGATTTTGTGGACTCGGTGACGGTTTCAGTGATTTTGGGACCGGATTCATCCATGGGTGCATTAGGCATTGAGCAGCCGTCGGTCTCTTCTCAGGTACAAATTCAAGAATGGGAATGATGAAATCTTGCATAGCAATTGCGTCTTCCTCACTGAAGTCATATTTATCTGTTAAGACCTTGCTAAGTGGCCAAAACCGTAACCGCCTGATGTGCCTCAGTTCACCCTGTCGGTTGAAGAAATCCCGCGAATGGCGTCCACCTAATGCAATCTACATAAAAAAAAAAGCACGTTAAAAGAGCCCTATTCTCGTCTCAAAATGATACTGATAAATATGAGAACGCTGTTTCTCAGATTTACCTTTCGTGGCATCATCCCGAGAAGCTCCATCATCAATGCCAAGTGATCCTGAAACCAAAGTCCATTAGTTTTACAATTGAGTACCCACAAAATGAAATGAATTTAGTTTTTCCACAGATCATGAGAAAGCAAGTAACTAAGTAAGAGATATTATATACCTCATCCCGCTCAAAGTTTTCACCACTGTGAGGATCGAATAGAACATCTCCGGTGGCAAGCTCAAAACAAATACAAGCAAATGACCACATATCCGCTGAGGTTGAGTATTTTGAGCCAAGAACAACCTCAGGGCACCGGTACTGTCTTGTCTGAATATCACTCGTAAACTGTTTATAAGTCCAACACGCATTCCCAAAATCCACCAACTTGCATTTCCGATCAACATCCGCAAGAAACTTTTGCCGCGTGGATCGACTTCCTCTCCTATTGCCCCGGCTCTTTTGACTAACATTCTCTGCATCTTTTACTCTTTCAGAACTCTCTTCCGACCACTCCACAGTTGCATTTCCGTTTGGTCTTGTTTCAGAGTTAGAATCTCTCTCATTATCCTCTGAACCTTCCTCTCCACCACATCCTTGACCTTCCACTTTCTTAGCTTTCTTCCGAATCTTCTTTTTCTGATTCTTAGTCAAATCCGCACTGTACGTGTAACTCTTGGGTTTCTCCTTTTCAGCCTGTCTCTCAGGAACAGCCTTCTCCTTAGCAGTTGGAAGAACAAGAGGAATCCCCGATTTCCGAGCATCTGCTTCAGGGTCAATAGTGGAACAAAGCAGAATGTTCTCCGGCTTGATATCAGTATGAATAATCGAAAGTTCGCGATGAAGATAATCCAATCCAACCAAAATATGAAAACAGAGCTCTTTAACCATATGAAGAGGAACCCCTCGGTAATCGCTGTACTTGATAACCGACAAGAGGTTATCTCCCAAATACTCAAAGACCATACAAACATGTTGCCCATTAGGACCTGCGTGCTTGAAATGATCAAGAAGCTTCACAACACACTTCTTATCTTCGGCGTCACCTTCAGCTATCTGTTTCAAGATCTTTATCTCATCCATCGCCGCCTCAGTGTAGTGCTGAGCACTCTTCTGGATTTTCAAAGCTACGTATCGCTACAAACAATGCAAGATTCAAATCTCTAACTACAAGAACTTCCACATTCACGATCTAACTAAACCCTAAACTCAAGCAAATTCCTTTTCGCTACTTTTTAAGAACCCTAAAATTGATTCTCTGAGAAACGAAGCATAGAAGCGAAAGTAGTGACTTACAGATTTTAGAGAGTCCCAAGCGAGCCAGACAGTGGAGAAATGTCCCCAACCAAGCTTACTCTGAATGACATAAGATCCATTCTTAAAAGTATCACCGACTCGAACCTCATGGTAACCTCCTCTTCTGTAATCTTCTGTTCCTTCGTCCTCCGACGAGTAGTCACTAGCGTCACTCAGACGTCCACCGTTCTTCTCATCCGCCATCGCCCCACAAGACTCAGATGAGAAATCCCCTAGAGGACTGACTTAGATGATGAGATCTGGAAAATTCAATTTGAGAAAAACCCCTAAAACCCTAGAACTTCGAGATTCGAGGGAAGAAGAGAAAGCTGGAGATTTAAGAGACGACCAGATAAAAAAAGAGATTAATTGATAAATTTCCTAATTTGAGGATTACATTAGTACAGACAGATAAACACTTTGAAATTGGAACACGAAATGAGTTTATGACACAGAAAGATAGTTAGTGTCTGTGTCAGTCAGGTATGAAAAGATTAGGGCTTTTGTTGACTCTGTCTGAGAAAGAGTATACGCAAGTATGCTGGACAAAGAAAAGAATCATGAGATTTAATGCAAAATATAAGACGACATTAACTAATTTGATAGAAGATCATTTTTTAAAAAAATGTTAACATTCGAAGTAATAGAATAGACAGACCCCAAAAAAAAAAAAAAAAAAAACTTATTTCATTAGAAAGTTATTTATTTTCTTATTATGTTCAACTAAATAATATTACATCAATGTTAATTTTTATTAAATAGTTATTTTCTGTGTAAATCAATTCTTTTTGATATATTCATTGGCTATGAGCCTATGATATGACAATTGACACATTTTAGAAATGAATTAAAACATCTATTTTGAATGATTGTTATGATTATAAAGTAATTAATAACTCTATCACGGGTATTAATTATCAAATTAAAAAGTTACGAACAAAAAATATTGGTGAAGTACCTTGATCAGTATTTAACTAAGAGATAGGTGTTTGGATCAATGCAGCTATCTCTGATCCTTAGATTATAGTACCATTATTTCATTAATTATAGTATTTAAGAAAAAATAATTATAGTATTTCTTTGCTTTTTGCTTTTGTTAAAGATTTTGATGCTCTAGTATGATTTCGTTTTTATCTTTGCAGAATTTCTTTTTTAATATAAAAATAGTGAGAAAAAAAAACCTTGATCACAAGAATGATGATACACACACAACAGACACCACTATGTATAAAAGGAATTATGTACAGTACATCCAAAACTATAACAATGAAATGGTAAAAAAAAAAACAAACAACAAACGTTAACTTTTCTTCTGCTGGGCTTCGCCGGTTGGGAGAAACTTACTCTCCGGTGACCACAAATAACACGCCGACGACCACATCAAAAAGGGTATAGAAGAAACTACAATTTTAGGCAAAGTTGCGAAAGCTGTACGTGCTATAAAAACATGTTGATTACCATTAGTGACAACATTAGAGTGTTTCCAACAATGTCCAAAGATAACTTCTGCGGTGCAGCAGAATTGTCATTAAACTGTCCTGCGTTCACATATTCGCTTCTTCCGCTGCTGCTAGTCGCTGAGACATTTACCGACATTGAACCTGAAGAAAGATAAACAAAAAAAGGTTGAGAGTTTTTTTAAGAGCGGAAAGATTTCATTGCTTTTGGGTGTCACTTGGGTTCACGGGATGAGATTTACAGTCGTAGTTTGCCCATCCGATTCTCTGACCGACCAGATCATAGACAAAGATCTTGTCTTTAAGAACCAAATCTGCAGAAAAAGATGAGAAAACCGATCTTTTGTGTTACCAAACGTAGATTTCAAATAACAAAGGCTTAAGCTTTCGATTCGGGTTACCTCCAAGGATTGTTATCCCTTGATTCTGTATTCTTTGAAAACCGATGCACCACACTGCAGTACCTCCCTATAAAGTAGAGTGCAAAGACAAATGTTATACAAAGAACCGAAAAAAGACTCAATGTTTCATGTCAAGTTAGGTTCAGATTCTGAAACCAGATTCCTGTGAAAAGGTTCCGAGTTAAAAATGCTTACGACATTGTTCTGCTGTATTAGGTAATCCTGAGGATTCAAGAACATGGATGCTCCACCAGCAAAGTTCAAGCTAACTGGAGGAAATATGTCTGCGACACTGATCACACAGTACAATAAATAAGTTCAGATGTTTACCAATTAAGAAGACATGCTTCAGGATAAGAAAATTTGGTAAGAGGATAAACCTTGTGGCTATTACGTAACATTGGTTCCCTTTCGAAACAACAGGTCTGACAGACTGCGAAACAGCATTTGTAATCTGAAAATTTCCATAAGACAGAGAACATTTAAAATAATGTATTGAAACCAAAATTGCAGAGTATCAAGTCAATGGAGTACAGTTATAGTAACTACATTTCCTAGATGGTTCAATGATATCAAAAGAAGATAGAAACGTGAGGTTTGATGACTTACAGCTTCAACGAAAGGAACATAGGCTGCTTCAGAAAGGTATGCCAATGTTGTACCAGTGTCAATGATTGTTCCCTGACCGTTTGATGTAGAGAAGACCGATGGATTGATAGGTAAAGCTTGGCCATTCACTGAGATGCTCAGAAGATTCACATTGTAATGAGGCCTAAAATATTCACACGCCATAAGATTATGCTTATCAGTCACTCTCTAATGAACAACTCTTTTGAAATGAAACTGTTTCAAAGGATAAATGGAACTAACTGCGAGGGGACAAGAGGAGTAAAGACCATGTTTGGCTCCACAATCTCTCCAAGAACCAGTATGCCTCCGCCTCCATTCTCTCCTTTCAAGCAGTGAGAGAACACTCTTGGAGCTAATCCCTGTGAAGCAAGCTGAGATATCACAGACATTCCTTGCTGCCCAAACCCGAAGATTCCATCAACCGCTCTATCAGACTTCACTAAATCTCCCGTCTGGGAGGTGCTGCAACTGGTTCCAGAAAAACAATCCCACATAGCAACCAACAAAGTCAAGAGTAATGGCCCATATTGATGACTATGAAACAAAGGATTCGCTGAAATAAACTCACCCAAACACAACCGGAGCCGTTGAGTTTGGGACCAAAGAGCTTCCAACAATCATGTCAAATTGCAAGACATCCGAGACGTAAAACCCTGAGGTGCCACTTCCATCCCCATACTGAAACGTGTAAGCACAAAGGTTGTTCTGAACAGAACAGCCAGAATCAGAAGACTGAATACCCCAACTGCATCTTTGATCAGAACATGAGACCGGTGTTGCCGTTACAGAGCTCCCTGGATCAAAGAAATTCAACTGAATCTGCAAAAGGAAAGAAGCAGCATATTATTAAAATCCAAAATCACAGAAATTCAAACTATACCAAGATAATGAAAAAGAATTCAAAAGCTTTACCTGGAGTCCACTGGTTTGAGGACAGCCATTACAAGAAGCACAACTAACCCACAAAACATCACTTCCTGTATCAACCTGTACATAAAAATCTCTTGGAGGAGATCCTAATCGTATTTTCGTGTAGTATAATCTGTTCAAAGTCAAACACCAAAATTTTAAGCAGAAAACAACAAAACAAAAGAAATAACTTTTTGATTGAGACTTAAGAAAAAAAAAAACAAAACTTTGACAGACAACGACTGAGATTTACTCAGATATTGTATCGTATAGGCATTACCAACAATCGATCAATCACCAAAATAACAAAGAGAGAGACAAAAAGATGAAAACTTTAAATTACCCAACAACGAAAGGATCAAAAGTTCCATCGACGGGAAAATCTATGACTCCGCCTAAAGACTGTAACAATCTGCCGTGTCTAGCTTTATCACGAGCCTTGAGCTGACTAAGTTCCATCTCGTGATTCGCCGGAATCCCTCTTTCAAGTTTCAGCGCCGCCGGGAAACCGTAAGACAAAACCGCCGCCGGTAATAAACAATAAATGAGAATCGCCGCCGCGAAACGAATAGCCACCATAGCTTCCCGAGTTGGGTATGCTTTGAAGTGTTAACAAGATCTCTTAATCTCGTCAAAAATCAAAAAGATCATTTTTTTTTCTTCTGGAGAATTGAGCCGTCAAATTGTTAACGGCTACGAATCGGTAGTCTTGAAATTCATTAAGACAGAAGAAGAAGATTTGCAGATTTGTTTTGTACTTGTGTCGTCTTTTGGGATATAGAGAGAGAGAGAAGTATAACAGCGGATAAACAGAAAATGTTCCAGTGTAGATTACGCCAAATATCACATGTGTTTTAATTCTATTGATTTACTTTTTTGTTACTCGAATTTTTTTTTTCTTTTAATCGATTTATTGTTATTATTTTAAACATCAAAATAAAATTATTTGGACAAACAAAAAGGGTTAAATAACCGTATCTTTGATGTTTTGATTTCTGAAAAAGGCTTATGGCACACCTAAGAAATCGGATATACTAAGTTTTGAAAATTGAATTGGAATTCCAAGTTGGTTGATGATAATCCAAATTCTATAATGTCTCAAAGCGTTGCGAAGTCAATGATCTAGAATCTATCGATCTTTATTTTATATTATTTTGTAGATGATGTTTACCATATGTCGACGGGAAAAAAAAAAAAAAGAGAAATCAATCTATCTTTCTATATGTAATTTCTGCTTCATTTTTTTTTGTCGTAATTTCTGCTTCTTTCTTGAATGATCAACAACTTTTTCTTTACTACTTTGTAAGACAAATAATTTCAACATTTTGAACAGGCGTGGTAAAAGTTGCTTAACAAACACGTAATTACTTGTCAAATGCAAAAAGTGTAATTGCGTAGGTGAACAAGAATTAGGGTTCTTAAAAAAGGAAAATGGAGACCAGTCAATGGAAGGTTCTTTCTTGGCATCATCTTCTTTGGCTTTTTTTCTCTCTCTCTTTTTTTTCCCTGGTTACCTAAACGGCTAAACCACATAATGCGTACTTTTGACGCACCTCTTGCTTTACATGTATGTACCTATAATACACACAAAAAAAAGTAAGTGTGTGTATTTGTTTTTACAGAATTGTGTATATTTATACGTACGTGTTTGTAGATGTTGAAACTAAGAATCCATTGCAAAACAAAAAGCAAGTTATACTTGAGTTATGATCTAGCTAGCGTTCAACAACATTGGATATCTCCAACAAGTTGATGAATTTAATTAGGCTACTTGGACTTGATTGGTTGACGGGTCAAACGTATCCTATTGCCTATAAAATGGTACTTTCAAAAAAAACAAAAAAAAAAACCAAGGTCATTCGTTCATTTATATGGAATCATTCAAATGTAATCAATTCACATGTCATGTAATACTCCATTAGATATTTAGATTTACTTGCAAATTTGCAATACTAGCTACTAAAATTTATCTCATGCTTATCTTTCTTGTTTATTTGAAGAATTCATTTCGTTGTTTATTGTGTCTGTAAGATTTTGTAGAGTTTTGGAACTCTTTAATTACTTTATAAATCTAAATTAACATTTTCATTAATTGATGAGCGTATAACATGTTTGTATTATAGAAAAACTTGTTATTTTTATTATTTCAACATTCTCATAGTAAAGTGTTACATAGGATATTGTACCATATGATTGTTAAAGAAAATGCTTATATATATATATATATATATATATATATATTAAACTTGCACAAAGGATATATAGAGTTTTGGCTTCCTTTGATATATGCCAAAAACATATATTTTTCAGTTGGATACATATTTTTGACCTTTGATCCGTTTTTTAGTGTATATTTTTAAAACTTTCTTTTTTCATGACAATATCAACATACTATATAAAGTAGTTTGGATCAATGAGGCGGTTTCATTATAGCAATTCATTCAAATATATGGGTATTTAACAGATTTCTTGAGATAAATAAAAGCAATGCCTTTTTTTTTCCTTTGAGGCTAAGTTATGAAAGTGTGGTGTCACATTCCATCGGAATGTCTTTTATATTGTTTCGAGGCCCATTAATTTAAAGACTAAATATAAATTTATGTCTTTACTTTACTTTTGGCTTGTCATCAACATTTGTCCCATTTTCAAATAATGTTTTCTCTTGTCATGTCTTGTTTTTATATATTTTTGTAAAAAAAATTTAAAAAATTAGACACTAGTACATGATTAGATATCAACTTACTTGATACAAATAGATCTTAAATTTACTGGTTTCAACACAATAAAACATTTATAATATCTTATCTTGGTCTTATAATAACAATAAACAAAGTACAGACTAATGAGCTATAATCTTATAATTTCGGTTTCGCAATATTAATGATGTTATCATATGTTGTGGTCGCTTATCATTGGAGTAAATGAGTAAAGTTTTCTGGATGTATAAAACTCTTATATTATCCAATCAAATTACTGGCAAAGCATTAAGAAGGACGACATTTGACATTCACAATTACCATTAGGAAGGATATATACTACTACTTCAAGGTTCAAACACTTATTATTGGTTTTGGAGTTTGGTTTCGTAAACTATACTCTAATGGGCCACAATCCAAGATCCAAAACTCTAGCCCAATCCCAATAAACTTTTTTTTTTTTTTTCATAGAAATACTTGCTTTTACATCGATTTTTATAGATCACTCGTTGTCACAAAAAAAAAAAAAGATCACTCACCAATTATTGATATTTATATATATCATAACTAAACTTATATTGACATGTTAAGATCTCGTAGATCATTTTGGTACGTTGAAATCCAAGAATCAATAACTTTAATCTCTTTCTCTCTTTGCATCACCAGCCACTGCGGATCTTCTTTGTTCTTCAAACTGATATCTTGACAATGTGAACCTGCTCATATATTAATTTTTTTAATTAAAATTTTGAGAGAGTTCATCATCATATTCATAAACGATTTGTTGGATAAAATGTTTGACGAAAACTGAAAATTTGATAAATTACCATTTGTCGTGATTGCGACTACAGTATCTGAAATATCCTCCAAAACTCTGGAAACATATGAAAAGAAATCCCATGAAACCTTATATACATTGACACACCAATAACATATTCAATCATGTATGAACAAGTTATTAGGTTTATTACCCGCCAACGCTGTAAGGATCTGACAATCCATTAGAAAAAATGATGTTGCTCCCAAATCTTCGGAGGATTAACTTGACATCCTGAAATATATAATTCATATATAGTAAGTTGTAGCTAATTATTTTCATCAAACTATTACCTGTAGAAAATCAATACATTTATATGAAAATATATTTATATTAACTATCAATACGTTGTAAGTTGTTCTAAATCTTGAAATTTAAAGAAATATTGACGAAAAAGATAATAACCAAAATGTAAGCGAAACATATGTAAAAATAGCGAAAGTTAAATTATGATTTAAATTAGAGACAGTAAATACAAGGAACTCCAAAAATTCAATTTAAAAGTGTCTTTAAACGATGGCAATTTAGTGGCTTGTGTCATAGACTTAATTATTAATAATATTAATACGATTTTAAAATTAGTTGAATAATCATATACCTGAATGCCGAAGTACGTAGTGATCCAATGTGGTCTAGGAGGGACACCATAATAAGACTCACACCCATCAATGTAACTGGTCATGTTAAACGGTGCCGTTGGAAACATTGTATCTTGTTTGTCATATCCCACGGGTATCACTATCTCGCTGCAGCTCTATATAAAGATCATTCATGTAATTTTATTTTCTATATGAATCAGATGAATTAGGAAACAATACCACATAAATCATTAGTATATCTTTAGAATTCATGACTAAAATCTCTCCAAATTTAAATCCACCAAATTAATTAAAATGGTTAGTGCGATGCACCCCTTTAATGCATATGACATTCTATCGTGTTTAGAATGTTTTTAAATGCCGAATTTACATACCTGCCATCTCCATGCGATGTGATTGTTTGTTGGCTGCGAAAACATATTGGTATCATAGCAAGTTCGGTTGCCTATTAAAGCGACAACACCAGCAAAAATTCGGTCGAGTAAAGTGTCTTTACGGTTTGGTGTGTTGGCGTTGATTGCGTTGCACACGTTGGCCACCCAATAAGTCGGACCCCGGTTGTATTGAACAGCTTCGGCATATATCGTGTCCAAGAAGTCTTTGATATTGAAGCTTCCGTTCAGTGGACTGATAAATAATTTTGAAGAAGAAATTAAGCATAAAAATGTACCTTCTTATTGTTTATTTATTTTTGTTGTCTTGGACAACTACAGAAAAATGTAGTTTAAAATAACAAATTAAGATATTTCTCCCTTACGCGCAAGTTTTGAATGTTTTGCTAAGGATCGAGAGACCATTGGGTTTGACAGCAACTCTATCGATTTCTTTCCATGATTTACGGATCCTGGTATAACATCTTTCACTCGTTTCCTAATGGAATATATGTGAGAGAAAAAAGTATGTGATTAATTAATTAGTTAAGACTATCAAGTAACAGCAAAAAATAGTGAAGAAAACGAAATAGTTGAAATACTGATTGTGATAAAAATAACTCCTAAATGTTGATATGGTCTATGAGAGGATAATTATTATTACCTTGAAAACTTTGGTTACAATATAATAATAACCAATTTTAGGACGAGTATCTTCAAAGTAGAGAAGAGGAGCTGAAGATGCTAATGCTCCGAGTGCTATGTGTGGATATTTTAGCCTGAACCATGCCGCTAACACTTTGTACCATGAAAAAGAAATAATTTATTTAAATCCTTAATATCATAGAATGCTACTTAATATTATCATTGTGAGATCAAGAATAACTACATCACATAAGCCAATTAGTAAGATACGGTTATAATAATTTTAACATATGATATATTTATATATACAGGACTTACTTCCACCATAGGATCCTCCTATTACAATGATAGGGCTATGTTTGGTGGAGTACTTCTCCTTAACGTGCAAAAGAATCGCGGCGTAATCTGCTAGGGCTTGTGCTGCGTTCAGATACCCCAACGTACTTGCGTTCTTCAATGCTTCTTCTGCTGATCCAAACGGCATTGTCTTCCCATAATACCTATGCTGCATTATACAACATATGCATTTATATACAAATTACTACAAAGATTAATCTAACCGCGCATTTTATAAGATTAATCTAACCGCACATTTTATACAGGTCCAGCTTAGAGGGTGTGCCCATAATGCATTTGCACAGGGTCCTTCATTTTTTAGTCAATTTTCTTTAAGCAATTAGGGTCATGTTTTCTTAAAAATTATATGAAA